TAAGACCAGACACTACAAAACTCTCAGAGGAAAACACAGGAAGAACACTCTTTGACAAAAATCACAGCAAGATCTTTTTTGATCCACCTCCTAGAGTAATGGAAATAAAAACAAAAACAAACAAATGGGACCTAATGAAACTTAAAAGCTTTTGCAAAGCAAAGGAAACTACAAACAAGATGAAAAGACAACCTTCAGAATGGGTAAAAATACGTGCAAATGAATCAACGGACAAAGGATCAATCTATAAAATATATAAACAGCTCATGCAGCTCAATATTAAAAAAACAAACAACCCAATCAAAAAATGGGCAGAAGACCTAAATAGACATTTCTACAAAGAGGACACACAGATGGCCAAGAAGCACATGAAAAGCTGCTCAACATCACTAATTAGCAGAGAAATGCAAATCAAAACTACAATGAGGTATCACCTCACACCAGTTAGAATGGGCATCATCAGAAAATCTACAAACAACAAATGCTGGAGAGGGTGTGGAGAAAAGGGAACCCTCTTGCACTGTTGGTGGGAATGTAAATTGATACAGCCACTATGGAGAACAGTATGGAGGTTCCTTAAAAGACTAAAAATAGAATTACCATATGACCCAGCAATCCTACTACTGGGCATATACCCAGAGGAAATCGTAATTCAAAAAGACACATGCACCCCAATGTTCATTGCAGTACTATTTACAATAGCCAGGTCAAGGAAGCAACCGCAATGCCCATCGACAGACGAATGGATAAAGAAGATGTGGTACATATATACAATGGAATATTACTCGGCCATAAAAAGGAATGAAATTGGGTCATTTATAGAGACGTGGATGGACCTAGAGACTGTCCTACACAGTGAAATAAGTCACAAAGAGAAAAACAAGTATGGTATATTAATGCATACATGTGGAATCTAGAAAAATGGTACAGATGAACCAGTTTGCAAGGCAGAAACAGAGACACAGACATGGAGAACAAACGTATGGAGCCTAAGGGGCAAAAGCGGGGGCAGGGGTGATGGTGGGATGAACTGGGAGATTGGGATTGACATGTATACACTAATAAGTATAAAACAGATAACTAATAGGAACCCGCTGTAAAAAATAAATAAATAAAATTAAAAAAAAAAAAGAAAAGAAACAAAAAAAACAGAGGGAAAGCATGTGACAGCTAAGAAAATGCTTCCCTCAGATCTGCTGCTGCGAGGAGGGCAACTGACTGATGGCCCAGCTATTGCTCTCTGAATCTGCCACCATTTTGTGACCAAGACCACTCTTCCCAAGGCTCCTCCCAGCCAATGGCCAGCATGGTTGGGAAACTAGTCCGGGACCATTATTGTGGGAGATGAGCCCATTGCCCCAGCAAACTACAAGGGACCTGTTAAGATTCTGAGCTTTCATACACGAAGGAAGAAGGGGCAAAAGGATGCTATGGACAACTAGGAATCTCTGCCACTGTTATCTAGTGCTTCCAAGTTTTCAGAGCATTTTTCAGGAAATTATGCGGAAGGCTCCTCGGGCTGCTTCTCACTGCACCTTTATCTAATAACTCTGGGACAGTCTTTCTTTTCAGTCACCCTTATTCCCCATCCCCTATGCTACCATCCAAGTTACAACTCGGTGATCTTTCCCCTACTGTTGTAAACATAGCCTCTTGCCTCATCCACCTCTCTGGCAAATTCATCCTGGTTAAGCCACCAGACGAAGCTTCCTAAACATCACTTCGCAAATATTGCTTCCCATTTAAGCTACGTCTAGGAGGAAAAGAACCACCTCCTTGATTCTGCCTGCCCAATGGGCTCTCCTTGACCTAGATTTTTCCAAACCACCTGAAGCTATTCTCACCACGACCTGGTGAATGGGGCTACCTGTCTTCACCAACACACAACTCCTCACTGGCTTCTCTTTTGTGTCTATTGCCTATTGTTTGCCCCACGTCCTCTCTCCTTGCAACTTCTCCTGGACTTTTGGTCTTTTGAAGACAAAGAACTTGACTATGTCAAGTCATGGAGGGGTGGGGAGTGAACTGCAAAAACATATGTAGCACATTGGGAGACAGAAATCTTAAGGGAACCCAAGAAGGGTAAGCTGTTGAGCCTCATGGAGACTCAAATGAACTTTGGGATTTGGCAAAAAAAAAGATGGTTTGTTGGTTAAATTGTGGATTTTGGAGTCCGACAGGCTAGGTTTGAGACCTACTGTTCTTCCACCTACTAGTTGTGCGAGCTTCAGCAAATGAATTCAGCTTCCTTTCCACATCTAGGAGATAGGATAAACATCAAACCAACTCTGTTAGGTTGTTGAGAGGCTAAACGAGATGATGTATAGAAGCCCATCAGCCCAGTACCCAGAAAACAGAAGGCACTCAGTAAATGGAGGTGGGTCTAGCATTCGAAGTCCATCCGAGAACCAGATCACCTGGCCCTACCCACAGTGAGAGTAGATGGATCCTCGCTCCATTCCACCATTCATACAACTGTTACTCCGTCTCCACTTTTCTGTGGTGTCTCTGGTTTCTCCTCTCACTATCTACTGATTCTTTCCTCCTATTTTTCCTTCCGATCCTTCGGACTGGCCACTGCTCACGGTAGCATCTCTTGGGCAGCATTTCCTGACCCTGAGCAGCTCCTACTGGCTGTTCCTGGTCAAGGGTGCACTCCGGTCCAGCCAGCCATGGCCCACAGGACAGGAGGTCTGTAAGACCTGGTATCGCCATGCCCCTTAGCAGTGTGGGGAGGGGAGAGGAGACTGTGGCCACAAAAGGATTGAGCCACTGAGTATGTGTGGTGTCACAAATGCCTGCCCTGCACTTTTTCCTAAAGCACAGATGGAAGGAAATGACCCTCGTCTAAGCTCTACTCTGTACCAGATTCTGGCCATTTACACATCATGCTCACCCATTCAGGGCTGCATTAGAACCCTTGTGAGCCATTCCTCCATTAAAAAAAATACTAAAAATTATACTTTATGACTATGTTGGTATCAAGATGAATGTAATTTAGGCTGGATTCATTATTATATATTTACTAGTATATATGTACTATTATCCTCTTCTGTTTTAAAAAGACATTTAAGTCACAATACTATTACGGGCCCCTAATGAGGAATGAGGAATGGAGTTTTCTGAGGAATTTTCCCACTAGTGATTATGGGGAATCGGGTTTAAAAGGATCCTTCCTTCAGTTTCTTTTACATTTGGATTCAGGACGAAAACAAAAAGTCACTAGATGTGCTAACTGAAGGGTCTACAGTTCATCTCGGTCTCTTGAGAGCAGTGACAGGTGGTGTGCATTTCTGTCCCGCGGGGCTCCCTTCTAGAATGGACTCTTTCAGGAGGCAGTGCGGGGCAGTGCCAGGCAGCAGGCGCTGGAGTGTTCAGCTTCCAGCCGGGGCCCTTCCTGGCTGCATAGCTTCGGGCAAGGTGCCCTCACTGCAAATGTAAAATGTTCCCAGTGCGCAGGATTTTTATGAGGATTAAAGGGAAAACTCATTTGTAGCACACTGAGAGCTCAAGAAATGTTCACTATTAATTAATATTAGAGGCTGCCAGCGACTGAGAGGCCATCTGCACGCTGGGGCCAAGAGGGGCTCAGTCCATCAGTGATGTTGGCCGTGAACAGCTCATTGCTTCCATATCTGCTGCCCTAAGAGAAAGCTTGGGGGGCAGGGTGGGAGTAAGACCAGGGCGCCAAGACAAGGATGACAGTAAGATAGCCTGCACTGGCTGCGTGTGCCGTGTGGAGGGGTTCTGGGCCGCTTACTTGACTCACGGTATTTCATTTAATTCTCTCAAGTCAGTGGTGAGGTAGGCATGATTGCTCCCATTTTACAGCAGAGCAAATGGAGACCTGAGAAGGTAAGCAGGTAGGATGGTACAGCGGAAGCCGCGGCCGTGTGGGGATCATCCCCTTCCCTTTGGCTCTTCTCTCAGTGGAGTTGGAGGTAGAAGTGAGAGACACCCCCGGCAACGGGGAAAACCTGGCTCTCTGTTAGTATATGTTAAATCACACACTTCCCGGCTCTGGCGGGCAGGTGCTTTGTGGACACATCACCGATTCAAGGAAAGTGACTCTGGCTGCTGCTGAAATGGAATCTAGTGCTTCTCCGGCATGTGACACTTCCCAGACCTGGGAAGAGCAGCTGAAGAGCTATGAACAGTGCTTAACCCTTTCCCCTCTTTCTCTGAGCCAATGAGGCCATTGAGCGCTTGCTTTTACCAAGCCTTTGAGTGGTTCTTGTCGCAGCTGCCAAGGACAATAACAGCAGCAGCCACAGAGAGATTTCTAGAGGATGTTCACACCTCCACCTCTCAAAACTGTAAATAAACAAAGCTCCCGCAAACCAGGTGGTGCGTCAGTTAGAACCCCTTGCACTGAATCTCTGATTCCAGCCCCTGCTCACCTCTCCCGGCTCCTCCCCCACGTCTCTCCACCTGGCTGTTTGCTCTCTCTTAATATTTAACTGCTCCTAACTCCTCGGTAGCCCATTCTGTTTTTTCCTTCTATGTGGTTTTTCAAGATGCCCTTCTCCATGGACGCCCTCCCCATTTGGCAATCTGCTCTTCAACTCCCAGCTCAGGGGTCCTTCCTGCCAGATCCTTTTCTCTGCCGGTAACCCACTGCTGCGTAATAAAGCACCCCGAAGTCAGCAGCTCAAAGCAACAGTTACTCTTATCGGTCACGGTTACTCAAGGTGCTATGGGTTGCCGGAGCCCAGGTGAGTGGTTCTTGCTCGGGGTCTCTCATGCAGTCGCAGTCAGATGACAGGGGCCGGGGTCGTCTGAAGGCTCACCTGGGCTGAGCACCCGAGGGAGCTCCTTCACGCAGCCCTCCAGGGCTTGGCTGAGATGGATGGAATGACCGGCTGCTGGGTGGGTATCTTTCAGTCTGTCTCCTTGTGCTGCCTTCCCAAGGCTACGCTGGGCTTCCTCACAGCCTGGTGGCTCAGCATAGTCAGACTTTTTTTGTGTGTGTGTGTGTGTGCGAAGGCAGCTCTGTAACTTTATTGGATAATCAGCAGTTTCTTCTCATCCACATTAACCGTCTGTAGATTTTTGAAAGTGGTGACAGGTACGTAGGTAACCAACGTATAGAGCTTGTTTGATGAATCTTCATCTTCATTCCGTTTTCTGGGCAACCACACGTGGATACGGTATGGGACATTCCTTATTCCTTTGGCCCAGACAGCTTTGTTGAGCCTGGTGTCAATGCGTACATCCGGAGTTCCCATCTCCTTCATGGCAAATTTCCGTATTTCTCTGAGCGCCCGAGGGGCACGCTTCTTGAAACCCACTCCACGGGTGCGCTTGTGCACGGTGACGGGGTGCTCTCTGGTCACCACCTCGCTGATGGCGGACCGGCCCTTCTTCTCGCCGCCCTTCTTTGCGGGAGCCAACCTGCCCGGCCGGGGTTAGAAAGCCACAGTCAGACTTTTTACATGACAGCTGGCTTCTCCCAGAGCAGGTGTTCCAAGAGACCAAGGCAGAAGCTGCAAGGTTTTTTATGACGCAGCCTCAGAAGTCACGCGGGGCCACTTCCACTGACTTCTGTTGGTTTCGCAGGTCAGCCCAGATTCAGTATGGAGAGGGCGTACCCAAGAGCGTCAATGCCAAGAGGTGCAGCTCATTAGGAGGCCACGCTTTCCCGTCTCTCCCCTTCTCTGCTCCCACAGGAAACAGGAATACCCCCAGCTCTGTATTTCTCCCAGGGCGCTACCCTTGCTTCTTTTTCTGCCTTCCCTGCTCCACTGTGGGGGCCAGCGCTTGGCTGGATATTTTTGAGTCTTCTGTGCCTGGTCTAGTGCCTGGCCCTCGCTAAACACAACTTCCCTTTGTGGAACTGAACTAAGCTGCGACTCAGGGCTCCCTCCAACCCGCCGCCAGCCACCCCAGATGTACTCAAGCCGCCAACCAAATGGCTCCCTCACCTCCAGACTAAAGACAGTCACCCTGAAATCCAGACTCGCTCCAGCCCAGTCACTGGCCAGACAACATGGAACCAAGCATTTCTCCTTTTCTTCCCTTTGACGACAAGTTAATTCAGTTCTTGAAAAAGACACCAGCTGACAGCCCCACAGATTGAGAAACATATGTCCTCCTCCAGAGGGGCCCCTGCGCGCAGAGAAGCACGGGTGGATTCTGAGGAGGGCAGCTGAGTCTGGGCACACACGGAGCCCCAGACTCAGACCTTGACTCCCAGGGGCCAATCCCGCCCCTATAGAAACAGCCAAGTAGAGAGGATGTTTCTTTAAGAAAGACATCACCTCCGGGCACAATCTGACAATCTGACAACCTGCCCGGCTTCAAGCTTCAGTTCTGCCTGGGTTCTTCCGTCTTTACTAGATTTAGGGTGGATTGGAGTGGGAAGAAAAGTGAAGAGAAAATGTATCTTGATACTGGAGACCAAGGGGAGGATCATGGGATGAAGAAAAGAAAAAACGTCTTCCTTCAACAAGGTACGAGGGAAATAAATGTACAGCTAGCTCCTGCCTGTACAAACCACATTCACTCACCTTTCTCCAAATCATGACCCAAACCGTCTTCATTAAAAATAACAAACATTACAAGAGCTACCAATTAATGAGCGCTCACTCTAGACCAGGTATGTATGTTACCCCGCTGAATCCACACCATTCTGGGAGATGGCTGTCTAGCCCTCCCTTTCCCCCTGTCCCCAGTTTCCAGAAGACGTTGAGAGATCATCAGAGGGACAGAGGAATCTGGCAAAGATCACAGAGCTCGTAAGTGGCAGAACCAAGATTCTCACCCTGGCCTGTCTCCCTCTAGAGCTCTGATGCTCAAAATTGGTCTAGCAGCTTCAGCATCACCTGGGAATGTATGGGAAATGCAGACTCTCAGGCCCCACATACGACCTACTGGGTCAGAATTTGCCCCTGAACACGGCCAGGTGATTCTTTCACACAGTGGAGTGTGAGTGGTCTCAGCCTCTGCTCTCCAGATAGAAGCAGTCCTGAGGCCACTGGCTCAACACACCAGCATTGACGGAGGCTTGGGTGCCTGGCACCCATTTCCCAGCACATGTCAAGAAGAGCGCGTGTGATGGCTATCTCCAAATGGGGCTGAGAAGACAATGCTTCTCCTGTCAAGCTGTTTCTCCCAGGCATGGTCTTTGGGACGGCTCACTCTGCAGTCCCTCCAGCCCTGCCAATAGAAACGAACTCCCCTTTTTCTTTTTAAGTACTCTTCTATTAGTGTAGAATTTACTTGCAGTTCAGTGCCCAAATCTTACTTGTGTAACCATCACCTGGATAAAGATATCCAACATTTCCAGCACCCAAGATGGCTCCCTTATGACCTTTCCCAATCAACACCTGCCTAATAGTCACTATTCTGCCCTTTACCATCATACGTTCACTTTACCTGTCTTTAAACTTCAAATAAATAAGAATGACACAGAATGTTTTCTCTTGCATCCACGTGCCATGAGATCCAGCCATGTTGTTGTGTATTTCACCATGTCATTCTTTTACGTTGCCCGGTAGAACTCCATGTGTGACTGTACCACAGTTTACTGATCTGTTCTAGTACTGATGGACGTTTGGGTCGTTTCCATTTCTTGGCTTCTATTGTTTAAACCGCTGTGAATACTTTTGTACATGTGTTTAGGTGGACATGTACTCATTTCTCTTAGGTAAGTGCACAAGCATCAAAATTGCTTTTATTCAGCACATAGGAGGCTTTGTTAGCTACTGTCAGCTTCCCTAAGCAGTTGTACCAATTTATACTTCTGCCAAAAGCATGTGAAAGTGAGGCTTCCTTTTTAATTCCTGTCCCAAAGTTAGCCAGGATTCCATTACCCTGCACTGAGTCATCCTCCTTTGAAAAGGAGAAAGAAAGATTTGCTCCTAATTTCCTGTCTAAGAGATGAAGGCATCACACGTCATCTGAAATCAACAGATTGTTAGCACACGTTTGTCTGACATCAGATACCAGATGCAGAGGCCTTTTACTGCGCACTCCAACAGACACTTGATCCCAACGAGCTGCCACAATTGAAACTTTACAGCTTCTGCTCACATTAGAAAAAGGTCCCAAAGATGTAATCAACCTTCACAAACATATGGGGCAAATTTCAGGGCAGTGCATGGAGAATTCAGGGCACAGCTCACAGTAATGATAACCTGAAATAATAGGAGCTCCGTGGAGAACTCCTGGGCGGCCAGGAGAAATTACACCCCTGAGGTATTCTCCACACCAGAGGCCATATATTAACACACACTTCCCTCCGGGGACCCTGCAGTTTACTAGAAAGAGCCACGACTCGGGTCCAGAAGTACGGGTTAGGGCCTCAAAGTCCATGCTCATTGCTCAGTGACCCTCGACCCGCCATTTAGCCTCTCCACGCCTCAATGCCCTTTCTAATAAACCAGCAGCTGAAACTCCCGGCTTCTCTCTTTCCCCTCCCTGACTCTTAACCTACACTCTTCCTCCACGCATTAAAAAAATCTTTTTATTTTAAAATCATTTGAATCTTACAGAAGAATGGCAAGAAGAGTAGAAGGAACTCCCTTAAACCTCTCTGCCCAATGTTTCCACTGCTAACATTTCACCCTATCTGTTTTAATCACTCCCTCAGTCTAAGTAAACAGAAATTTTCCCTGAAATATTTGAGAGTTCATCGTAAACACCATACCCTTTTATCCCTAACTTTGGAGCCTAAATTTCCTAAAAACAAGGACAATCCACTTACATAAGAGAAAATGGGATTTTATTTAATATCAATACAAAACTATGATTTAATAACAGCCCCTGATTCAAATTTTGCGAGTAGCCTCATTAATGCTTTTGTAGAGCTCCTGCTCTGCCCAGTCAGGACCACTTCAGGGCTGTGCATTGCATTTAGCTGTCATGTTTGTACAGTCTCTTTTAATCAGAGACAGTATTTAAGCCTTTCTTTCTGTTTCATAATGTTGACAATTTGAAAAGGGCGGCCACTAGTGCTACAGAATGCCCTTGAACTTGTCACTACACTCTTACCACACACAGATGCACAAATCCACAGAAATGAAGCGTTTTCTCTCCACCAGGCTTTTGTTGGAGCCAGCCTCTCCACCGAACTCCCTTCCCTTCCTCTTTCCCCTGGGAAATTCTCATTCAGCCTTCTCTGAATGACCCCCCGAAAGCTTGGATAAAAGCCCCTTCCTTGGGTTCCCACTGCACCCTGAGCTTAGCCCCTCCGGGCATCTGCCCAACTGTACTGTGTTGTCTGTGTGGTGAGGAAGCACTGACCACTGCCTTACCGAGGGCTCCCCCTGACACGCACAGGCAGGGATGCTTTGCACACCAGCCCCCTTGCCCTGCATCACCCGCTGTGTGCCCACGGCCCCCCCTGTGGCTCACAAGTACCTGGGGCATTATAGGGTAGAGCTCTCCGGGTTCTGTCAGAGTTGGAATGGCCAGTGCGACCAGCTAATCCTTGGGAGGCCCTGTGTGGATGGAGTGGCACTGCAGACATCTGCAGATCAGCTGGGTCCATGTGACAACAATAACTACAACA